CGCTCGGACGATGTCCTACGTCAGAGTAACAGTCGACAGAGAGTATCAGTCATCAGACACGCCGTACAAAGGGCGCAGGACGGAAGTGATGTGGCGGCGGCGGCGCACGGTGCTTCTTTTCGTAAGCCACGCGCGTGGTCGACCGCGGTTACGATGCACGTCACCGTGCTTACTTCCTAACTTGATCGAGCACGCGCCGCTCGCACGATGAATTTCATGAACGACCCAACCCGGCGCATATTTCGTGATAGATATGGCGTCTGAGAAACGGAATGGTATTTTGGCAGAAGAGTAATGAATATAAAAAAAAAACCAAAAATCACAGATTTCAACTAGCCACTTGATATTATAACAACGTTGTATTGAAATCGGTGCAAATAATCTGGAAAATGGGACCATAGATAGATAGATAAAAGATCAGTACACTATTCGAATACTAGTACTGGACCGACGCGGTGAGATTTTGGCACGCGCGTAGTTCGTCCGACCTTGACGAATCGGTCGAAACCTGAATAGACTAGAAAAGTTAAGAAGGAATCGATTACGCCAACGCGGCTACACGTCTAGCAACGGATGAATGTGGTGCTAATAAGTAATAACAAATAAGTAATAACAATTGTTAAGCAAACAATCAATAATATTATAATTAAAATCTCGGATTTTCAGCAGYGGGCGAGTAGGTYGTGGAGAAGCGATGCGCCCTCCCTGAGTTGGCGGCACTGCGATTGTTTAAGCTGAGCCAAATTCGCATAGCGCGCGCACGACAGCCTGTCTGCCAGCGTTCAATCCTCCGGGAAAAAAACAAAATGAAAGAAAAAATATATAAAAATACAATACCTATACAATATACACATTCTAATCTCTGATATTATTATATCGTACCTATAGTTGTTTTACACTATTTCTGTAGTGGTAAATATTTGCAGACTACTTTATGCAGACACGAAAAACCAACACATAGTAAAATCAGTACCATTGCAGCAATGGCATTGCTCCTCTTAGAATTTAAAATTGTAATCAAAATTCCACATCGTTACCAAATGGTTTTAATATAATAGGATTTTAAAATTAACCTTCGGGATTTTTCAAAAGTTAATCATCGTGATTTATTATATTTGGTATGATACTGTCATTCTCATTATTATTATCTATTCTTTTTATGTTTCTAAATTTACTGAATTGAATATATACAAAGCGGGTAAGTCGTAGATGTTGCTCTGCTGTACCTACCTACAGTAGGTTACCAGTGGGTTACTGTAATGACTAATGTATGGAATTAAATTTGAATCCGATGACATAATTTTATCATTATATACGAAAAACGATTCTGAGCGGAAATTTGTATCGGTATTTATAGAAAAAAAA